GTAAATATATTTGTTTGTGTTGCAGCGAAGTGTCGGTTCTGTTTCATCAACAACCCTCAATCAGATAATGCAACAGTTTGACTTGTGTGGCACCAGCGGAGACCACCGGGTGCAGTGTGAACCCGGACTTTGCACAGTGAGTTTCCTTCGTTATCGGTGAACAGAGGAGGAGTGGAGACTCTGAGTCAAAGAGACCAGAAGATAACCGATTTATTGAGTGTGTAGATATCTCTGAGCATTACAACACCTCGCTCTTCCTCTCGCCGCTGCCTCCTCTTCATCAGAGAGGATTTATCTAAGTGTTTGTTTGTCCACATGTTTTCATTCAGTTTGGATTCACTGACCTTGCCGGACTTTCAGGTCGGTGAAGAGTTTAACTTAACCAGCATCAATGAATATGCAGTTATCTTTTCCCCATACGTCAATAAGATGTTTACAGAAAGTGGCGTTATAATTAACATTCAGTTTGTTTTATATTTGAGTATTTAAAACTGCAGCGTCTATAGAAAGTTCACAGTCCCGCACATCCATACGTGATCCAACCCCTGCCTCCAGCTTCTGACCATACAAAGTCATGATTCAACTCCTGTTCCTCTAAATACTGAGCTCTCGGGTCGCTCGTCACAAGAACTCACGGGGCCACAGTTTCTGCGGAAACGGAGGACGAGAAAAAGGAGAAGAAAGCGAGACCATGTGTGAGTTTTTAAACACGTAACACCTACATCATCTGCCACTCGCAGTCTCGCTGTCCTTCACTATCTATCAACTCTTCACTCAGACGGACAGATAAAGTGTTAAACTCTTCAGTGTTAGATCAAGAACGTTAAATCGATTACAAAAGCCGTCAGTGAAGAGTTCATTCACTGTTTCCAACATAAAGGGACTATTGATGAGGATTAACCAGCGATAAGTGTGTGCTGTATTAACTTCACTGAGAGCCTGTTTGACCTTCGTACGGCTCGTCTTCCTTTGATCCTGTGTCACACTTTTACAGTCCGTTATGGATTATCTGCCTGAAGCTGCTATCAGCTCCGATCAGCTGCCACACCGTTTTTATTGTACCGCAGTAACAAAACCAGGATTTCTTTATGTACCTGAGATTCCTTCATTGTTTCATTGTTTCATTCAGAGTTTATGTTGAAGAAAACCGGCTTTCAAACGTCCTCATGTCCCGAGATCTTCACCAGAGACACCAGTACTTCCAGTATGTGGCACGAAGGCGTCGGAGCCCCTGAATGCCTCAGAGTAAACAGAGCTGGTGTTCAGGAATGTGGGGAGGAGAAAGTCTGAGCAGTCTCATTAAACATCTAGCTGTTGTTCTTTGTTGTTTAGTAATTACATTTAAAAAAGAGGGGCGGTGCTTATTGTACAGAAAGAAACCAACAGATCGATCAAAAGCTGCTCTAAAAACTCAAATAAAGCTCAGTCACTAAAGCTCTGACGGGAAGCTCACAGTCGGTCATTAGTTTCACAGGATGTGGTTGTTTCTGCAGCCTGTGGCCTTCACACCGAGCGTACACACAGTCTCACCTCCGCTTCACGCTGTAATATCCCTCCTTTCTGCAGTGGCACTTTTCAGTCCAGTTGGTGTTTTGTTTAGTGTGCGTATTATCTCAATAAGATCGGACAGAACGGGGCTGCTTTAGGACCCGGCTGCTGACTTTAGCTGCTGATTCCTGATGTATGACAGAGCCGCTCTGAGTGCAGCGTTCGGGCAGACAGTCAGGGAAGTGTGTCACTGGCGTTGTTGGGATTCAGGAGGAGGCAGCAGACCAAATATGGGAACACACACTCTCACACACACGTGAACTACCTTTTGTCTCTGTCCTCTGCTTTGGAAGTTTCCAAGCTGCTGACTTACTAAGAACCAAGAAGAAGTAAGAAGATGTAATCTGTCTTTACGTCTGTTCTTGGTGTTGTTTGTCTGTCTTATCTGAAGTCCCTATCAAGATCACCAGCTACCTGTAACAGCATCAAAGTCTGTAAAGGTCAACAAGAACTTCACGCCACGTCAAACCTCCGATTAAATCCACGCAATGTTTGTTTGTTTGTTTGTTTGTTTGTTTGTTTGAGGTTGATGTTCTCTGGTTTCAGCTTCATCGAGCTTTGTGTTGTTCTTGTTCCAGATGGATCTGCGGTTCCTTTTAGTGGCAGCGTTGTCGGCAGTCCTCGGCGGCGGCCGGGCACAGCAAGGTAAGAACAACGACGTTCATTTGTTCAGATTCTGCTTTTTTCTGATCTGAACTGTTAAATATCAGCTGTGTTTTCTATTCTCTCTCTTCATTCATGGTTTAATGACCGTGGTGGGAGGCTTTTTTTTTTTTTTTTTTACGAGGTGAAGTCATCGCTTGGTGAGCTGCCTGGAGCTTTTTCACAGCATGACTCAGTTTTCTGAACTGGGAAGGGATGGAGACTTACAGCCAAGAACCGAAGCTGGGTCGAGTTAGTGAGCGAATGGAAATTGTGTTTTGTCGTCTCGGCTAAAAGGAACGTGTTGTCTCTTTTTCAGAGGGAAGCGTATGCATCAAGGCAAACGCACAGTCGTGTGGAGAGTGTATCCAGGTCTCGGAGACGTGTGGATGGTGCTCAGACGAAGTGAGTGGGATCAGTCGAGTATTTTATCCAAAGAATCAAAGTATATCGAGAGGATCTGTAATCGTGGGTGTGGAAACATTCAGCGTTGATTGATGGTTGAACTGCTAACAAACACAGCTGGTAGTCATCGTCTGAACGGAGTAATGCAACATCTAATAAATAAAAACAATACGTTGTAGTTAGATCTGCTTAAAAACAAACAAAAACAGTCCAAAGATAATCTGATTTAGCTGACTAAATATCTGACAGTGTTTTGTTTAATTGATAGCAATCATTTTGAAAAAGAGACGGCTCTAAAAGTAAGTAAATATTGCAGTCTACAGACATACATACCTGGAAGTGCATTTACAAACAAATGCACATTTGTACTAGAGAGTTAAGAGATTCAAGAGACGTGCTCTTTCCTGCCTTTCGACCAAAAGCAAGTAAACCACAGCTACTACATTAATTGTAAACAGGAGCGCTGCTGCTCCTTGTCTCACAGTGGATACTCAGGCTGAATAATCCCATTTAATTAGATGTTTTCTGTACCCAAGGCAAGGATTCTTGCTGTGGCAGCAATATGCTACGGAGCGAACAGACCGCAGTACGGGAAAATACAGATTTACAGGAGCGTGAGATTAATATAAAAGATAATAAACTAGTTAACAGCTAGTACGAGGATATGTTTCAGTGTGGAAGCTACAAATTATAGTCAAACAAATGGAAAATGTTATTGAATTGTAGATCAAAAAATTTCCCTCTGCAGTTCTTGGAACTCAGGAACACGAGGTTAATGTGAATCAGTGGAAGTGGGCGGTAAATCTGCATCTTATTTAAACTGTGATATGAGATTATAAGACTGTTCTGATCAGTTCAAACACACGAGGAGCCAAAAAGTCTCACATGGTGCCGAGCAGCAGCAACCCTTAAATGAAATGTGCAGTGAATGTCTCAATCCCCATTACTAATTATTTATGATGTCGAAATGTTGTGTTTAACTTGAAACACAACTTAAACTTAAACCATTAACTTACTTGTACAGAATAGTGAGATTTGATTGGTCCGTCTAGCCCAAAGGTTCCCAAACGTTTCTTATAATTTATAGAATAAATAAATATAAATATATACTATATATATATATTTCTTATAATCCTCATGCTGATTAAACATATGTTTACTGACATTTGTACTGCTAGATGCTGTAGGAATTATTTATGTTTAAACTCTTCAACCTAAATACTTAAGGTGAGTTTCATAGAAATGAACTTAAACAGATTAAATTTGAATAAATAAATGTTAAAACCATTTCTATACTTTTAAACACGGGGTCATTTTTATTCAGATTACATTTTGACCTCACAGCATTTCTAATATTAAAGTAACAGATCTTAAAGCTTTCAGAAAATGAACAGTAACAAGACTGGCAAAGTCCTAATGAACACTTTTTCAAGTTTCATGACTAAAGTGCTTTAAGGGATTATAGAAAACCAACAACTGAAAAACCAACACATTCTCGAGGAAAGGTTCATTCCTGTTAAATCTCTCTGTACTTCTCTATGGGACTGCTGACTGATAACCACTCCTTAGCTTATGAAATCCAGACATGACTCTACTTAACAACATGTTAAAAACATATCTAACATAAAAAAAGGGCTTCCAATAATCAGATTTCACAGCCTGAAGTGATAACTGAGTGGTGTGTGTGCTGCCCACTGCTGACAGCATTATGTACAGTGACTGAGATCGCTTCAACGGATCCTTTCTCTCCGTATATCACCACCGTTTCCTGTGTTCACCGTGTGAAGTCTTCGGAACAACAGGCGTCTGGTATTTCTGTGGTTTTCAAACTTTCACGTTACTCACGTCTGATATTTATCGCGGGACGCGGTGGAGGAACACAAAAGGCCACAGCGGGTCATGTGGTTTTGAAAGAATTAGGTCAAAGCACTATTTTTGTTTTGACTGAGTTCATTGTCTTCACTTCTCCTCCACTGTGCCTTGTGGGATATCATGTGCGTCCAATCTATAGTCACTGCCAGGCGTCCCAGTCATCTGTTCCTTATTGTCTCCTGTTGCCTGAGAAAAGCCTCAAAAACAGACAGTTAAACTACAAGTGATCGATTCCAGAGTCATTCATGTGTCTGCAGCGGATTCTTTAGACTTTAGTTGTTAAAAATAACAAAAAAACAGAACACTCTGCTGGCTTCAGTACCATTTTTATTTCCAAAATTTGTGTACAGGCCTGTGTGGATTATAAAGAGACACACTGAGATTGTATTGTATGAGAAGTCCTGTTGTTCCTGAATCACATTTGTCAGTACGTACTGTGGTACTTTTTCATACCAGTCACACAGACAATATTAGTTTAGTTCCTAGTATCTAAGGAACAATATTAAGGAAGTCAGGTATGCAGTACAATTAATCCTCTTGTGCTCTTTGTGCAGACCTTCCTCACTGTGGGTGAGTCCAAGTCGGCTCGCTGTGATGATCTGGAGTCCCTGAAGAAGAGAAATTGTGACGTGGCCAAAATTGAAAACCCACGTGGAACCATCACCGTCGATAAGAACAAGCCTGTCACCAATCGCAAGAAGGACGTGGCTGAGAAACTGAAGCCTGAGCAGATCACCCAGATCCAGCCCCAGAAACTCACCCTGACACTTAGAACTGGTAAATATTCAACCTTTGCAGCCAGTGCTGGGAAGAAACTGTTATAAGAGTATATGTTTTGCTGGCCTGTGGTATCGGGGCGAATTAATCGAGTCAGCCAGCTCTGAAGCAAAATTAGAAGCCGTTAACTCTAGTGTATAACAGAGGGAGGACCTCTTGTAACAGAAGACTTGTACTTAAAAACTCCCTTTTAAATTGCTTTCATGTATGGAGGTTGAAATGTAATGTTTTTGCTTTTGTTCCACTAAAAATTGTCATTTTTTTCCTCTTAAGGTGAGCCCCAGACTTTTGACCTGAAATTCAAGCGTGCTGAGGACTACCCCATCGACCTGTATTACCTTATGGACCTCTCCTTCTCCATGAAAGATGATTTGGAAAACGTCAAGAACCTTGGCACTGACCTCATGAGGGAAATGCAGGAGATTACCTCAGATTTCCAGATTGGTAAAGAAAAGAAAACTCCCAACAAAAGCTTAATCATCACCGAAAGCAGTAATGTTAGAAACACTTTGCAGTTCTGAGCAAAAAATGCTTTCTCTGTTAGGTTTCGGCTCATTTGTGGAGAAGACAGTCATGCCGTACATCAGCACCACGCCAGCCAGGCTCATCAACCCCTGCACAGGGAACCAGAACTGTACCAGCCCCTTCAGCTATAAGAACGTCCTGAACCTGACAGACAAAGGAGACGAGTTCAATCGGTTGGTCAGTCAGCAGCAGATCTCCGGAAACCTGGACTCTCCGGAGGGGGGCTTCGATGCCATCATGCAGGTGGCGGTTTGTGGGGTAAGAAGGGGCCAGAGACTTCTCTCTCTCTTGTTCCAGATTCTGATTACTCGTCAACTATAAAATGAACGACTGGTTAGTTTGAGCTGAATGTTTTAAGTCACTTTTTTAAGAAAAGAAAGTCTAAATTCTCTGATTTCAGGTTTTTTAAATGTTTTCTGTCTTTAGTCCTCTATGACCGTAACCTGAATATCTTTGGGTTGTGGACAAAACAAGACATTTGAGTCAGCTTGGGCTCTGACTCAGCGCTAGCTTGTATTGAGGCAAGATTGTCTTGTAAATCTGTGAAATATTAATGAGAAGGCTCTCTTTGTCTTCCCAGGAACAAATCGGCTGGAGGGACGTGACCCGCCTGCTGGTGTTTTCCACCGACGCTGGTTTCCACTTTGCTGGAGATGGCAAACTGGGCGGCATTGTCCTGCCCAACGATGGGAAGTGTCATTTGGAGAACAACATGTACACCATGAGCCACTACTATGTGTGTAGTTCATCATTTATTTAATGTGCATGTTGTGTTGATTCTGCGTGTCTTTCTTTTATCTCCATTTCTTATTGATGATTCCACATTGGCTCAAACAGTCTGGGATTTAAAATGGCAGCTACATTCTGCTTTTATTAACAATTACGTGTGTGTGTGTGTTTCTCCCTGTGTTGTTGAATATTTTAATAGGACTACCCCTCCATCGCCCATTTGGTTCAGAAACTAAGCGAACACAACATCCAGACCATCTTTGCCGTCACTGAGGAATTTCAGCCTGTTTACAAGGTGAACATTGTGTTTATAAAATGTAACTCTCATGGAAATATCGACTTCACACCACATAAATCACAAGATAAACATTTGTTCACTCTGTTCTTACCTTCAACTCTTCTGTCTCTTTTCAGGAGTTGAAAAATCTTATCCCTAAATCAGCTGTTGGAACGCTGTCCTCCAACTCCAGCAACGTGATCAAACTCATTATTGATGCTTACAACGTGAGTCAAACTGCACTTCACTGCACTACTATTTAAATAATCTATGTCCCACATATTAAGGGTGCTATCCTGCAGTTTCCCCAATAAACCTTCTAACAAAATGATCGACACATCAGGTCTTTTACTTTTAACAACCAACAACTGATAAGGGTCTGTCCAAATCTAAACTGGCTAAGATATACCCACAAATAACCCTAAATGTGATGGATGCCACATCACCTGACAGCCCGATGGCATATTCAGAAGCTATTTTCAAAGCTCTCTCTCTGCAGTCAGTTAAAATTGATCGATTTTATCGATTAATTCGAATTCGTAGTTAA